ACAGGAGAATAGAAGCATCAGGGAAGAGAGGTGAAGGTTTATAAACTAAAAGAGGAGGCAGTTAAAGTAAGACATTAACAGCTATTGGAGGATAGATGGACTAATGAGAGCATAGGCAATGGGGTCGAAAGGTACGGGAAGGTTTTAAAAATGTAGTGTTAGTGTTCAGCAGAAGTTTGTGGTTAAAGGAAAAGTGGGGGTGCGGGAGGGAAGAGGAGCGATTGGTGGAATGATTAATGTAAAGACAGTAAAGTAAGGGAGAAAAAGTTAGCATATGAAGAAGTTTTTACAAAGTAGAAGTGAGCAAGGAGGGAAGAGTATATGGAGAAAAAAAGAAGAGGGTTAAGCGAGTGGTGAAGCAGAAGTAAAAAAGAGAGCAAATGAGAGAGTGGGTGAGATGTTATCAACAAATTTTTGTTGAAAATAAGAAAGTTTTGGAGTGAGATTAACAGTCCAGAAGCCACAGAACAAAATGGATTTGTCAGTTTAAAAAATATGAGAGGAGACTTATTAAACGTAAGGTTCGAGGGATTGGGAAGATGGAGGGAATATTTTGAGGAATTGTTTAAATGTTTGATGAAGATAGGAAGCTGTGATTTTGTGTAAAGGCAAGGAGGAATAACATCTTGTAGGAGTGAGGAAGAGCCAGTTGTGAAGTGTGGGGGAAGTTCGTGAGGGAGTTGATGGGATAAAGATAGAAATGTTAAAAAGCAGGTGGGGGAATAAAGTTTTGGATGGTTGGTGTGGACTAATTTAATTAATGTAATGGAAGAGGGGTAAGGTACGCTAGGGATTGGCAGAGAAGCAATGCATTTCCTTTTGTATAAAGGCAAAGGGGACAAAAGGAGAGTTGCAAAAATTATAGGGGGAAATAATTCTGTTGAGTATACCTGGTAAAGTGTATGGTAGAGTTTTTTATTATTGAAAGAAATTAAGAGTAAGACAGAAGAATAGGATAGCAGATAACAAGGAGGTTTTTTAGTGAAAGGTAAGGGGTGTGTGGACCATGTTTTACAGTGAAACATATAAGTTAACAGTATTTAGATAAGGCTAAAGAGGTCTTTGTGGCATTTATGGATTTGGGAAAAGGCGTATGACAAGGGTGGATAGGGGGGCAATGTGGCAGGATGTTGCAGGTGTATGGTGAGAGGTAGGTACTGAACGCAGTGAAGAGTTATTTACGAGGACATAATGTAGGCTCAAGTTAGAGTATGTAGGAAAGAAGAAATTATTTCCCAGTAAAAGTAGGCCTTAGACAAGGATGTGTGATGTCACCGTGTTGTTTAATATATTTATAGAGGGTTGTAAGAAAGTTAATGCGAGGTCTTGGCAAGAGGCCGTGGAGTTAAAGATAAAGAATCACACAGAAATGGGAGTTTGGCACAGAGTTTGCTCTTTGCTGATGACACCGTGCCTCTTGGGAGATTCTGAAGAGAGCTGCAGAGATTGGTGGATGAATATGGTAGGGTGTGGCAACAGAAGAAAATTAAAAAGTGAATACAGGAAAGAGTAAGGTTGTGAGGATAAAAAAGAAAGAAATTTAAGTGATGAAAGATTGGAATATCAATTGGGGAGGGAGAGAGTATGGAGGAGGTGAATGTATTCAGATATTGGGAGTGGACGTGTCAGCGATGGGTCTAGAAAAGATGAGGTGAATCATAGAATGATGAGGAAAAGGTGAGTGGTGCACTTAGGAGTCAGTGGAGACAAAGAACTTTGTCCTTAGGAGGCAAGAGGGAATGTATACGAGGAGAATAGTTTTACAAATGCTCTATATGGGTGTGGAAGCATGGGTGATGAATGTTCCAGCGAGGGAGACGGCTGGAGGCAGTGGAGACTGTCAAGTCTGAGGGCTATGGTGGTGGGTGTGAATATAATGCAGAGAATTTCGTAGTTTGAAGTTAGGAGAGGTGTGGATTACCAAAACGTAGTGTCCAGAGGGATGAGGAAGGGTTGTTTGAGTGGTTTTCGGACATGTTGAGAGAATGGAAGTGAAACAAGTGACTTCAAGAGTGTATCAGTCCTGTAGTGGAAGGAAGGCGGGGTAGGAATCGGCCTAGGAAAGATTGTAGGAGGGGGTAAAGAGGTTTTGGTGTACGAGGGGCTTGGACTACCAGCAAGGCATGCGTGAGCCGTGTTTGATAGGATGATGAGACAAATGGTATTTAATACTTGACGAGCTGTTGGAGTGAGAGCAAAGTCACATTGTAAGAAGGGGTATTCAGGGAAACCGGCAGGCCGGACTTGAGTCCTGGAGATGGGAAGTACAGTGCCTGCACTCTGAAGGAGGGGGTTAATGTTGCAGTTTAAAAAATCCTGTAGTGTAAGCACCCTTCTGGCAAGACAATAATGGAGTGAATGATGGTGAAAGTTTTTTTTCGGGCCACCCTGCCTTGGTGGGAATCGGCCATTGTGATAATAAAAAAAAAATAATGGTCCACGTTGAACTGAAACATCATTGTAAGTTTCTATTTATGTGTGGGGTTATTTGTGCATCATTGGTTGATTATGTCATGCCACTACTTGCTCTTGTGCCAGACTAGAGCTTGGAAAGGTGGAAAAATTACAGAATGAAGTGGTGAGGATCATCCTAGGATCCCCTTGTACTACCAAAATTCTAAAAATACAGAAAGAACTTGATATTCCAAGAAACAGAGATTGTCACTGAAAGAAATGTCTTCAGTGGTCTCAGTATGATCAGGCAAACAATTCAAACCCTTGCACAGAAGCCACTGAAACTTTCTTCAGTACTGGTAAGCATTCCTCCAGGTGGATCATAAAAATGAACCGACCTCTGCATAAACCAGATACACGTACATGGTCTGCATCAAGTAAGGCATTCCAAAATTAATGTAATACCATTATTATTTCATTGATTAAAAGCACTGCATGGTAGGAGTAAAGAGTAAGAGATGGGAGGAAGAGGTGCTGGTGTTAAGGGATAGACATCAACAGAAAGAATGGATGAGCCTCATTTTGTCATTTATGGAATCCTCTGAAATCAACTTTTGATTACAATAATAGGGACATTGTCCGAGATGTTGAACTGTTAGTATGTAACAGATTACAAATGAATTCAGACACGGCTCGTTGGAAATGACAATGTGGGGCCTATTGTGTGTTCAATGAGTAGGGGTAAAGAGTACGGCTTGCCACAATCTATTTGTCAGCCTCTTTTTTTCATCTTTGAATTTTTAAAAAACTTTCAATGTTCCATCTTAAATTATTTTAACTGCTAATTACCATATGGCAGGTTTCATATCAATAATTTAAGTCACTAGAAACTTTTCAGTTGTTGTGTATCTTGGGGTCTTTTTAAGATCCCTCAAGAAAGTTCCCTATGTTGGTTTGAATTCTGACCAAAAGAATTGAACCGTCCTCTCCTTGGATTGAGATTCACCGCTTCCCTTGCGAAATAGTTTATTCTCCAGAAAGAATTACAGTGACCCCCCCCGGCATAAAACGATGGCATCGCATAGCGATTTTTCCGCATAACGATACTTTATCGCAAAATTTTTGCCGGCGCATACCAATTCCGCTTACCGATTTTCCCGTCCGAGACGCGTCCAAGTGCCCTCACCAGCCTCACATGTGCCGCCCGTCCCATTGTTTACCAGCAAGCCTCCGCGGTAACATCCAAAGCATACACTCGAGAATATTTCGTATTATTACAGTATTTTTCGTGCGTTTCTGGAAAATAAGTGACCATGGGCTCCAAGAAAGCTTCTAGTGCCAACCCTGTGTAAAAAGGGGTGAGAATTAGTATGGAAATTAAGAAAGATTTTGAAGGGGTTTTGGGGGCTAACCCTGAGAAGCCTATGCCATTGTGGAACCCATTGTGCCTACTTCAAAGATTAAGGAAATGTGTGCACAGTGGGTTGAACTGCAAACCTTTATAGATGAAAATCACCCTGACACAGCTGTTGCAAAGCCGTGCTGGGACTTTTTTCAATGACAATTTTTATGGCCCATTTTAGACAAATCGTAAAGGAACGGGAGGTACAGAGCTCTATGGACAGATTTGTTGGGGCGACAAGAGTCCAGTGACTCCAAGCTGGTCCTAGTGGCATTAAAAAGAAAAAGGGGAAAAGTAACCCCGGAAAAGGACTGCTACCTCAAGTCGTATGGAAGGGGATTCCCCTTCTAAACAGTAAGAAGATGATGCTCTCCCCTCCTCCCATCCCATCAATCATCACCAGATCTTCAAAAAAAAGTAAGTGCCCATTTAATTGTGCATGCCTTTTTCATTTTTGTGTGTATTAAAATTAACATTTCATGTGGTAAAAAAAATTTTTTTTCATACTTTTGGGCGTCTTGCACGGATTAATTTGATTTCCATTATTTCTTATGGGGAAAATTCATTCGCATAACGATTATTTCGCATAACGATGAGCCCTCTTGCACGGATTAAAATCGTTAACCGGGGGTCCACTGTATTAGTAGTGGCCGTTTTATATTATAGCGAGGTGCTAAATCATAGGGGCTTCTCAAAGGAGGCTCCTTGATGTCGGTAAAGAGTTACTGATCAAAGGGATTGGATATAACCTTGGCTTCCTTGAATCTGATTGCCTCCCATTTACACAGGTACTTTTTCACCCTTTTAGTTCAATGATCCACACATGGATGTAATAATTAACTGTAGGGGTCATCCATTAACAAAAAATGTACTAAACCAAAATGGATCATATTGTGTCTGGGGAATGAGAGGCAATCATGTTTGAGTTAAAGGAGGGGAGGATAGCTCCAATTATTTGAATCAAGAGTCCTTCAATGTCAGTAATGCACTCCCTTGATAGGTTAGCACTCTTAATTTTTTATAAAACTATCACCATTTCATTTTCTTGTTAAATATTTGCCTAATTTTTTTCACTTGCACTTGACATAAATATCCGAAGATTCAGTATATCTGATTAAAACCACCTGCTGCAAGATGCTATCTCACTTCAAACACAAATTTAAATATTATTATGACTATCAGAATACAATAATAAAAAAACAAAAATTTTTATTCTTTTATTTCGAATCTGAGAAATACTAAAATCTGTAATAAACTTCATTAGCTGTAAATGAGTAACAATGTGATCTGAATTATTTCTTCAATAATATAGTTATTTCATATTTTACTTATTTTTTCCACTTATTTTCCCTCCACCTATGATCCTAGTATGGAGCTCCTCTCCCTATGCCTCTACCACCTCTTGCTTGACCACGGCCACGACCTCTTGAAAATCTCGATTCCTTCATGGCTCTCTGGGATCGGATCTTGTAAAGGGACCTAAGCTGAGGTTGTATTTTTATAAACTCCTTTTCTACTTCACATGTGAGTGACTGAGCCATCCATGCTATAGCATCTGAAATGAGAAATATGCAAAAATATTAAGCTTCTTATTCTTTTTAGTAATTATTACAGGAAAAGGGGTTACTAGCCCATTGTTCCCGGCATTTTAGTTGACTTTTACAACATGCATGGCTTACGGAGGAAAGATTCTTATTCCACTTCCCCATGGATATAAAAGGAAAAGTAATAAGAACAAAAACTATTAAGATAAAATCAAAGAAAACTCAGATGAGTGTGTATAAATAAACGTGTACATGTATGTGTAGTGTGACCTAAGTGTAAGTAGAAGTAGCAAGACGTACCTGTAATCCTGCATATATGTGAGACAGACAAAAGACACCCGCAATCCTACTATCATGTAAAACAATTACAGGCTTTAATTTTACACTCGCTTGGCAGGACGGAAGTACCTCCCTGGGGTTGTTGAGGTGGTTTGGTCATTTAGAGAGAATGGATCAAAGTAGAATGACATGGCGAGCGTATAAATCTGAAGGGGAAGGAAGGCGGGGTAGGGGTCATCCTCGAAAAGGTTGGAGGGAGGGGGTAAAAGAGGTTTTATGGGCGAGGGGCTTGGACCTCCAGCAAGCGTGCGTGATAGGAGTGAATGGAGACGAAGGGTATTTGGGACCTGACGAGCTGTTGGAGTGTGAGCAGTTTGGAGGGATATGTTGTGTATCTTTATATGTATATGCTTCTAAACTGTTGCATTCTGAGCACCTCTGGAAAAAGTGATTATGTGTAAGGCGAAAGTGCTGAATGATGATGAGAGTATTTTCTTTTTGGGGATTTTCTTTCTTTTTTGGGCCACCCTGCCTTGGTGGGAGATGGCCGACTTGCATCCAGCTAATTAAGCTGGATGCAGTGGAGATGTTGTGTCTCAGGGCAATGTGTGGTGTAAATATTATGCAGAGAATTCATAGTGTGGAAATTAAGAGGAGGTGTGGAGTTAATGAAAATATTATTCAGAGGGCTGAGGAGTTAAGGTGGTCTGGTCATTCAGAGAGTATGGAGCAAAATAGGATGACTTGGAGGGTGTATAAACCTATAGTGGAGGAAAGGATGGGTAGGGGTCATCCTAGGTAAGGATGGAGGAAGAGGGTACAAGAGGTTTTGTGTGGAAGGGGCTTGACATACAGCAGGCAATGTGTAAAACGTTAGATGGGAAAGGGGGAGACAAAAGGTTTTTTTTTGGGATTTGTTTAGCTTTTATGTTACAGGGTAATATTTTGTAAAAGGGATTCGGGGAAAAACAGATGAACCTGAGTCTGGCACTTTAAATGAATTTTTTGGGATATTTTTTGGAGTAACATCTGAACTGTCGATCTGAAAAACCCTGCAAAGACAATGATTATGTGTGAATAAAGGGTTTTAAAAAAAATGTTTAAATGAGGGTGAAAGGCTTTTTTTTTTGGTTTTACCCTGCCTGGGTTGGAGAGGGCTGATGGGGTGACAAAAAAAGGGTTTCTTAAGCTGTCAATTTTTTTTTTAAACATTAAAAAAAATGCCCCAAACCCCTTTAGCCTCATTCTAAACGGGAAACACCTATCTCATTTTTTTTTTATTAACACTTGGCCTTTTCCCCCACCAAGCCAGGGTGACCTAAAAAGAAAACTTTCATCATTTACTCCCCCTGTTTTTGCCAAAAGGGTGCACTTACACACGGGTTAAAATAAAAACTGCAACTTTTAACACCCCTCCTTCAGAGAAAAGGGGCCCTGTATTTTTCTCACCTCCAGGCCCAAAAGTCGGCCCTTTCCAGTTTCCCTGCTTTCCCTTTCCCTTTAAATGTTCCCCCTTGCTCACCCCTCCAACAGCACATAAACCCCTAAAAACCTTTTTGTCTCCACTCACTCCTATCAAACCCTGCTAAACATCCCCGGGCTGAAAGCCCAAAAGGCCCCCCACACAAAACCCCTTTCCCCCCTCTCCCCCAAACCCTTTCCCCTGGGCCCAAAACCCCTACCCAACCTTCCTTCCACAACAAAATTTATAAGCCCCCAAATTTTATTTTCTTTCCCAAATCCCCTCTGAATTTTCCGAACCCACCTCAAAACCCCCTTTCCTCAGCCCTCTGGATAAAAATTTTTTGGTAACCCTGCACCCCTCCTAATTTCCAAACTACAGATTCTCCCTTATTTCACACCACCCCCTTTCCCCCTCAGACATGACATTTTCCATTTGCCTTCCCCCTTTCTCCTTTTTTCCCAAACTTTTCACCACTCGTGCTTCATACCCATATAAAATGTTGGTAAAAAACTTTTTTCTCATACACCCCTCTCTTTGCTTCCTTTTACAACCCTTCTTTGTCATTTTCTCCTCCCCTTTTTCAAAAATCAATATTTTTCAAACCCAAAAACTCCCCTTTCATTGGACCGGGTGTAGAATGTGAATTGCCATTACTATATAATTTGTTCATGATTTTTACCCCTGTATAAAACCCTAAGTAACCCTTCTTACAAGGGGTTCATTACCTTTGGTTTCCATTTTTACTATCCAAAAAAATATGGGGGCCATCCCTGGACCCATTCATTCCTCTGTAATCTGTAAATACCTTTAACTTTTTCATGATTGTGACAGACCTACCTGGAGTTTTATTACCTTAAATAAATTGTGAGTTTTATTAAACCCATGTAACTTTGCTCAGCAAACAAAACCCTTTTGGGGTCCAGTCCCCGGGCCAATTAAGAAACCCCTGTAACTTTTACTTTCTGCCCCCCAGGGGCGGGGATGGGGTGCATAATAAAACAAATTAAACAACTTATTTTAAACCCCCACCCAGTTTTGCTTTGTCACCCAATACCCAGGATTTTCCCAAAATTTCCCTTTTATTCATAAAATTTAAATTTTTGTTTTTTTTCCTTAAAAATCCATAAAGTACATTTGAACAATCCAACCCAAAAATTTTTTTTTCACTTTTTTTTAAAAACATACAGAAAAATTTAGGGAAAAAGCCCCCTTTTTTTCCCCAAAATTTTGATCATGTAACCAAAGCAGACTTATTTAGAATGAATAAATATCCCCCTTGCGAAAATAACTGGAAAAAAAAAAAACACCGTAAAATTAACCCTTTTTAGGGTTTCGGACGTACTAGTTGGGCCCTTTCGACCCAGGGGTTTTTTACCCTACTAGAAAGCCTAAATTCTAGCCCCTCAAAACTAGTGGGAGGGAAAACCGGTAGGCCCCCCCATAAGAAAGGGAAAGGGTCTAAGTGGGCAGTGTGCACGGGAAAAAAAAAAATCCTGCCCGCACCAAATGGGAAAAATGGGGAAAAAAAAAAATTTGGGCCGTTTTTTTTTGGAATAAAACACGACTTTTCACTGTTTTTTTGATGGAAATTTTTTTTGTATTCTAGTTTTCTTGGTCCCCATTTTAAAAAAAATTTGGGGAAAAAAAAACATATCATAGAAAAATTTAGAATGATTTTTACTGGGTTTTAAAAAATGAAAATAAACCTTTTAAAATTTTTTGCCAAATTAGCAGAAATGTTTTGATTTTTTTCCCAAATTTAAAAGTAAACAAAACATGCCCCAACGTTTAATACACTCAACTGCGAGTCAAATTCTTTTGCAAGTTTCGCCAATATGAATTTAAAATAACCATTTTTTAAAACTAAGCAGTAGCTGCATAACCCGTAAATCTTCTATTTTTTTTGAGAATAAAAATTCAAAGGGGGAAAGCAAAAGAATGTAAGAGGGGCCTTTAGACGTGACTAACGAACAGAGGAAATGTCATTTTAGTGCCAGGAATGTATTTCTTGTTTGTTCTGGACCCTATTCGGAAATTGGCATCTTTTGAAATTTGTGTGAAATTGGCAAAATTGCTAAATTCTGACCACTGTACTGGATAGTTGAAATTGGTAAATGGGTGGTTTCTTGCACTCAATCAATAGAAAAAATGGAGTTCTAGCGAAATATTCATGTTTTTTTGTCGACTAGTACAGTGGAACTGGCCGAAAATGGGGCTCAAAGTGAGCAAAATCACCGATCCATAAACATTGCCGAGACCGCTAACTTCGCGAGAGCATAATTCCGTAACTTTACCATCAAATTTCATATTTTTAGTGTCATTTTGATCGGGAAAAGATTCTCTATCTTTTCATAAGAAATTTTTTTTTTTTTTTTTTTTAAATTTGGCCGACCCTGAGAACGAGTCTCGGAGAGGGCCTGTCGACCCTCAAAGGGTTAAGAAACAAATATGTTAAGTAAAAGGACACAAGTGCAATTAATATGACATTTTATTGTGGTAACATTTTGCTCTCCAGGAGCTTTGTCAAGCTGAAGAGCAAAATGTTGCCACAAAATGTCACATCGGTTGCACTTGTGTCCTTTTACCTAAGATATTGTTGGTAATTCTACCAGTAACTTGCTAATTTATGCAGTAAAAGTCAATGGCAAAAATAAAATTACCTAAATTTTAAAGAAAGCTTAATAAGACCAGTTAAAATATTGCCAAAAAACTAACATTCCCTTGAAAATTTAGTTTCTAGCTTGAAACTGGTTTTAGAAAAAACTCGTTCTTTTTAATTTAAACCACTGATGTATCAGCTAAGATCAGTGAATGTGTGTAGCAAGTTTAATGTAGGTTCATATTTTCATTGTTTTTTCAGTGGCCAAAGGCCCTCGCAAACAAAATATCTGCTCTCGAATCATGTAACAGATCATTACATCTGACAATTATAAAAAGTGGAAAATTAAAATGAAAATATCTAACCAAGTTATTATATGGGCATCAAAGCAGTGCAAAAACTTAAACCATATGGTACCTGGCATAGGCAGGAATACATAATTTTGTAAAGTGATAAGCTAGATCACAACCTGTGTAAATTAAAAAGTAATACATTCAGTATATAGAAAACAAACCTTCAATCAGTGGATCATCTGAGTGAATAAAGAAAGGTTTCTTCTTGACCTGAAGCTGTGCAGGTATGACAGGTTTAGGGGGTACTATTACTTGAACTGGCAATTTTTCATTTTCAGTGTCATCTCTCTCTAGAAAAAAAAAAAAATTGCAATTTGTACCTTTTTTCATTTCTTACCACTGCACTTTAATAAGTAGACATTTTTTCCCTATATATTCGTATACACTCACTAAATATCAACAGGAATACATCTTCTAGTCAAAATTTTCTATACTGTACTCTGCAAGCTGTATAGTCCTTGTGGCTTAGCGCTTCTTTTTGATTATAATAATAATAATGTACTCTGCAAACATTCTAAACCAGAACAATCTTCATACTTGCTCGATACCTTTGTGAGTCCTTCAACACTACTAAATATAATATTTAAAACCATCTTAACCTACCTCAAATACATTGTAAATATGCACAGGCAAAGAAGGGAATGTATGAAAGTATAGTAGTACCAACACTCTTATATGGGTGTGAAGCTTGGGTGGTAAATGCAGCAGCGAGGAGACGGTTGGAGGCAGTGGAGATGTCCTGTTTAAGGGCAATGTGTGGTGTAAATATTATGCAGAAAATTTGAGTGTGGAAATTAGGAAAAGGTGAGGAGTTAATAAAAGTATTAGTCAGAGGGCGGAAGAGGGGTTGTTGAGGTGGTTTGGTCATTTAGAGAGAATGGATCAAAGTAGAATGACATGGAAAGCATATAAATCTATAAGGGAAGGAAGGCGGGTAGGGGTCGTCCTCGAAAGGTTGGAGAGAAGGGGTAAAGGAGGTTTTGTGGACAAGGGGCTTGGACTTCCAGCAAGCGTGCGTGAGCGTGTTAGATAGGAGTGAATGGAGACGAATGGTACTTGGGACCTGACGATCTGTTGGAGTGTGAGCAGGGTAATATTTAGTGAAGGGATTCAAGGAAACCGGTTATTTTCATATAGTCGGACTTGAGTCCTGGAAATGGGAAGTACAATGCCTGCACTTTGAAGGAGGGGTTTGGGATGTTGGCAGTTTGGAGGGATATGTTGTGTATCTTTATATGTGTATGCTTCTAAACTGTTGTATTCTGAGCACCTCTGCAAAAACAGTGATAATGTGTGAGTGTGGTGAAAGTGTTGAATGATGATGAAAATATTTTCTTTTTGGGGATTTTCTTTCTTTTTTGGGTCACCCTGCCTCGGTGGGAGACGGCCGACTTGTTGGGGAAAAAAAAAAAAAATGCACAGGCTTACTCCCTGAGACTCCACTAACTTATCAAACTCCGACTCCTCAATTTGATACACAGCACTGTGTCTCCATGGTTTCCGAACAATTCATTATAAAATTTAAAAATGTGTAGCTATTACAAAATATTATATTTTTATTTGTACTGTACAGAATCACACATACTTTATTTTATTTGTGTTTCAGTTATGTTTCATAAATACATATGTTTTATTTTAGTTTTACAGATGGGGTTAATTCATAATATGTACAGTATATACTATATATAATAACAAATAGTTTTTATTTTAATTTCCCTAACTCAGATTTATATTTCTCAAAGTAAAATACTAGTACAGCGGAACCTTGGCTTACAAATGCCCTACCATGCGAACTTTTCAGGATACGAACCGTTGCTCGGTCAATTTTTTGCTTCTGGATATGAACAAAATTTTAGGATACGTACATCCTTCCCCTCAAGTGAGGCTCCTTGGAGAAGGTCCCTTGATCTAGGGAATTGGATCTGTGCTCCAGTTCCCTAAATTAATAATAATACAGTGGACCCCCGGTTTACGATATTTTTTCATTCCAGAAGTATGTTCAGGTGCCAGTACTGACCGAATTTGTTCCCCTAAAAGGGAAAATTGTAAATAGATTAGCCCATTTCAGACCCCCAAACATACATTACAAAACACAAAA